TGAAGGTTTATCCAACATAAATCATATCATATCAATTAACTCTTACCTTAATTTTGATCTACAAAATGAAGTTGAGATGATAGTCATTTTTATAAATGTTAATTCAAACATTTATGTCATCTTTTTTAAATAACATTTTTTTAAAAAATTTTAATTGACCAAAATTGATCATAAACTGACATGTTTTCCAATTAAAAATTATTCTAAGCAAGCTATTCATTGGTCAAAGAGGCAAATTAAGCGATTAACTCATAGTGTGAATTGTGAATAGTAATTACTTAATCTTCCTTAAATTAAAACAGACTGCGAAAATGAACGGATGGAGATAGTAATAAAAAGGGAATATTTAAGTATTAAAAAAAACCGGGGGAGAAAAAAAGAAAAGGGTTATGGGAACGGATGAGATAAAAATGATTGGGCACAACTCATATCAAGGCAGCGCCGCGCTGGAAATGGCTGAAAAAGCTGATCTCTGCCACTCCCACCGCCACCTCATATATACATACATGTGCGTGCATATAACAACAACAAAATTAGTAGAACTACTCATAAATAAAACCCTAAATTATTAAGAAAAAATTCCCATAAAAATACTTTTAAAATTTAAAAATTCAGAATAAAAAATTACTACAAATATGTATTCTTACTAATTTTTTTAGTGCAACTAATTACTATTAAAACATAGTAAACGAGAAGGATTTGAAATTTTAAAATTTTAAATTTTTTTTAATAATTGGACATAAATTCTCAAATTTAACTTATAGTGAATATGCAACTGTAAACATGAAATCATTTAGATCTTTTTATAATTTTTTTTTTAGACATATGAATATTTTTTTTTTAAAAATTCTCAAAAAGAAAATCCCACACAATCATGTTTCGGTATTTCCCCTCATCCGCCTCCGGATTCTCTTATAATCCCGTCTTCTTGTTATTTTTTCTTCTTCTTTTTATTCTACCCTTACTCTTAGATCAATGGATTTAACACTTCATAAAATTATTATAATATTACATGAAAATAAATAAATTTAAATTATGAAAAATTGACATCTACAGCTACAACAAAAAATATGGAAAATAATTTTATAAAAAATTTAAATAATAATTTAAGTTATAAATTGTGCAAGTCAAATTTAAGAGTTTAAATTTATTTATTTATTATATGATATTATAATAATTTTATAGAAAATTAAATTTTAATCAATTATTATTTAAGAGTGGGAATGAGATGAGGAGGAAAAAGACACAGAGAAATTGTGAGAGGATCTACATTTCCTCCTTCCATGTCTTGCCTTCCTTATTTTCCAATGAAGTTGGTGGTGGGATGGTTGGAAAACTCATATTTGCCTTTTTCATTTTTACAATTGAAAAGCATTCCCAATATCACGGTTGATGTTTACAATTATAAAAAACTTATACTCCTTTGGTCCTTAGTATATGACCTTATTGTTGAATTAGTTTTGGTCCTAAGTATAATGGTCATTTATCATACTCCTCTGGTCCTTAATATATGACTCAATTCTTGAGTTGGTTTTGGTCCTAAATATAAAACCCATTTCTCATATTTATCAATTTTCTCTAGATTACCCCTATAGATACTCCCTCAACCATGATCAAATAGAAGAAGGAGAAGGGGTATTAAAAAGATGATTATGGTGTTTTAGGAAAAATGTGTCACTTTTCTTATAATTAACTAACTTACCAAACTTCCTTAATCTAATCAAATTAGTTAAATGAGTCTTATATTAAGGACCGGATGAGTATTTATCAATTTTCTCTAAATTACCCTTATAGATACTCCCTCAATCATAATCAAGTAGAAAAGGGAGAATGGGTATTAAGAAAGATGATTATGGTGTTTTAGAAAAAATGCGTCACTTTTATTATAATTAACTAACTTACCTAACTTTCCTAATCTAATCAAATTAGTTAAATGGGTCTTATATTAAAGACCGGAGGAGTATTATTAAAAGTGACAGTTAAAAAATAAAAAAATATAAAAATAAAACAACATTAAATCTATATTCTCCGGTTTCAAATTGGATGGTACATATCAACCATAACTCCCCATGCTAATCGCTTGTGATGATCCCAAAAAGATGCGTTTACTTGCATGTTAATATGTTATGGACAATATCCATGATGTGTATCAAAAAAGACAATATCCATGACTAATAAACATATTTATAAAAATTGAGATAAAACTCTTTTCACATACTTATCTTATATTTTATAAATCCTTATTAAAAAGTTGCTTATAAGTTACTTATAAGCTATTCCAAACAAACCCATAATTGATTTGTGATATACTCCATCCGACCCTTGTTATAAAGACCTTCATCATCTTCATAATATAACATATTTTATCTAAAGGATCATTTTATTCGCCTAGAATTTCTAGCTAATTATAAAACTTCCTAACTAACCAAACTCTCCTAATTATTTTTATTGACGTTAGTTTTTGATATTTTACAGGAAAGAACTAATTCTAACTAGTTCCATTAACTTATGTAACATTTTTATTAGTTGTTTTTAATAACAACAAGAGAAATTATATATATAGGAATTATGTCTAATTCTTACTTAGAATGTAAGATAAATTATTTTATTAAAATTGCAATCAAAAGGAAAAAAAGTGGAGAATAAGAGTACATGTTAGTTGCACCAAAAGATAATTATGAAATGAAATGACCTAACTTGTTTTCAAAATTTAGAAGCACAAGTGTTGATGAGCTTGCCACCAACACCACCACACCAGCCCTACTTAACCACTTATTAGCTTTTGGTATTTGCCAATTCATAAATTTTCTCTCTTTTCACTTTGTACTCTTTAATAGCAAATGTTTGCCCCTTTTATGAAGTGAGAAATAAGCAACCTCTTTAATTAATTAATTAATTAATTAAAACTTATCTTTCATCTTATTGGATTTGAAAGTGCTTTTAATTAAACATATCCTAATAAGCTAATTTTATGATAAATCTCAGTGATAGTTAATATGAATATAAACAATCCTTATTTAGATCTGAACAGTATTGATCATTCAATTATAAAATTGACTATTTGATTGGCTGATATGGTGAGTGGTTTTACTTTCATGAGGAGAAAAATACAAACTCAAATACCAAAAAACATACTTATTGATAAGGTTTTAACTTTAATGCTCCGGGTCCAACATACATTAATATCAAGTCTAAAAGGGCTTTAGAGATACTTTGAATTTACACAAAAATTATTTTCATGCACAATTAAAATGTCACAGAATTTAAATAAATAACATCACTAACTAGTGACTTGCAACGTTGGAGTTTGCTAAATTGCCATTCTTTGTGTCGTCAAATTTTCTATGAAAAATAAAATACTCGTTAGAATTACCACATCCCCCTCTCATGCAAGCAGTGAAAATCAAACAGGTCAATACAACAGTTTGAGAGTGCGTGACCATAGCTAAACAAAATGAATCCAATGGGTGGGCGTAAAATCAGAGAATATCAGGAGAAGTACAGTACTCCTTTTTGAGGTGAACACGTGCCGTAATAGAAGGCTTTTGATTGGTTAGTTGAGCGCTTCTGGTGCCAATACATTTATTCTGGAAATGAGGTGTCTGCCTCGTAATTTATGAGGTGTCTGCCTTGTGATTTATAGTACCACCTCCGTGTCCCCCTCGTAATTTAGAGTACTACCTTCGATTTTTATTATAAAATTTTATTTAATTTTTATTTTATTTTATTTTTAAATATAAGATATCAATATATTTTCTTTATTATATTTATATATATTTTAAAATAGTAATTCTAATAACAATAGTTCTAACTAATACATTGATTAACAATGATATTTTAAAAAAGACATCACCTATTTATTACAAATAATTAACTTAACGTATTTTATTAATATTTTTAAATTAGTTAACTAGTTCTTATAATTATAATATATTATTATTATTTATAAAAATATTATAAGGCCTGCCGCACGCAAACCTTTTTATAATAATTTTTTAAAATTTAATCAATACAAAAAACTATAACATCGTCATGCCATTATCTTAAATTAAATTAAGAAAACCATTGATTTACACTGTTGTCAAACTCGTGAGTTAACTTTCTGAGTTTAACGTTTTTACGTTTTTAACTAATAAAATCATGTCAATTCACTCTTAAACTTGTGATAATTGTAAACTCGGTTAAACTTACGAGTTTATTTACTGATTTTATCGTTTTTAGCTTACAAAATCGTGTTAACTCGTTCTTAAACTCGTGTTAAATTTTTTGATTTGATTATATTTAGTGATTTTATATATGAATTTTACAAAAATTTTTTTGTTGAATGTGATAAATTATGAACATTGATAAATATAATTTTAATTATTTAAATTAAAAATATATTAAATGAAATTGTTCTCATTTTTATATATTAATTATTTGATTATATACTTTTAATACCAGTTTATTAATAAAAATAAATTTTTACGAGTTTACGATTTGAGTTTATGATTCGAGTTTATATCATTATTACGAGTTTGTTTAAACTCTTGAGTTTGACAGCCTTAGATTTATTTATTTTACTCCTATGTTGTTTCGTAGTAGAGGAACATTACTTTTGGCAACAGCTTAATTAATCAGGCGATTGATTAATTAATTAATGATTAATGAATTAACTAATTTCGTATGCATGATAAGAGCGGGTTTTGTTTCGGACCAAAATGCTAACTGTTCATTTATTAGCCGCAAGACAGGTAAATCACAGCCGTTAATGCCACTGACAGCAAGATCCCGTTGCGGCAAAATCGAGACTTGCACTGTTTTTCTAGCATTCTCAACTTTGGTTGCAATTTTAATTCCGAAAGTTAGTTAAAGTGAAAAAGGAGATCATTTATCGGAATTATTCTTTGGTTCGGTTGCGGCAATTCATAGATTTTGTTGTTTTCTTTTGTTTTTTCCCCCTTTCTTTTTGCTTTTTTTGTTTTAGCGCTGAGCTGAGCTTTTCTTTATTTCTTTGTTTTTGTATTTTTCTATTTAATTTTTTTTGGATCTGATTAATCATCCGTATATAAATGGCAAATGAAACCCAGCTGGTAGGATCCAAAATAAATTTGGACGCAACCGGAATTAGCGCTCTTCCCAAATTGGTTTCTGAATCTCACTGTTTAACGACCTCTACTGGTAGGAACAAAAACCCTAATTCAACTATATTTGATTCAGTTTTTCTCACTAAATTTAAGTCAATTCGCCCTTGTTTTTCTTTCTTTCTTTCTTTTTTTTTTTTGTTCGGTTGAAAATCACATTTGTTTTCGTGCAATCGGTGAGGTGTGGTTTTCATTGGATCTTGGTTGGTTCTTTTGCTTTCTGAGATTTGATTTTTTAATGGAAAGTTCCCTGTTTGGTTGTGGGGAATCGTAGGGAACCTAGAAATTATCAATGGTTGCAGTTTTGAGAGGAATCATCATTTCAACTAAATATTTTCGGCAATCATATGGGGACTGTCAATTATGGTGGATTAATGAAGTGGATCTCTTTGAATTTGTGTTGCAGGGGATCTGACTAACTACTCGTCGGCGATCGGTCCTGCCAGAATTGGCACTTACTCAGTCATTTCTCATCAGACGTTTGTATACATCTTGGAAAATTTTGGGATTTGCCGTTAGTTTATGGGCTTGTAGCGCTTCTAAATTGTTGATTCAGAATCTAAGATCGAAAATTCGGCATCCTTCTGGAGATACGTGTTTCTTTGCTTTCATGATGGGTGTTTGATGAATTTGCGCTTCATGTTCTTTTCATTATACGAGTGAGAAGGTGCGGCCACGTGGCAAAAGACAAGCACGTTACTGGCGAAGAAGTGTAAGCTGTTAGTTCAATGCTTGCGGGAATATTGCTGATAAATGACAACAAATACAGAAGCCTTTATGTTATGATAGACGACCGTTTTTGCTGCTATTGGAAATCTAGGTTGACCCAATTTACAGCTTAGTGGTCTTGAATTTATTTGCAATAGCAGTTTCACGATTTGGACATGAGAAGCTCCTGGTTTAATAAATTGTCCATCACTGTTGGCCCTAGACCACCGTTGAGCTGGTTGATGTTGTGCCTGATCAGTCTGCTTGCACTAATTGCAGTCTTAGGTTCATCTTCTTCAAATAACATTGATTCAACACCGCCCACTCGGGCATCACTCATTTATTCAAACTACAGAAGGATAAAAGAGCAGGCAGCAGTTGATTATTTGGAGTTAAGATCTGTATCATTGGGTATCACTGGGCAAAAAGAACTTGACCTCTGTGGCAAAGAAAGAGAAAATTTTGTGCCCTGCTACAATGTTTCAGCTAATTTGTTAGCGGGGTTTAAGGAAGGTGAGGAGTTTGATCGGCACTGTGAGGTGTCAAGAGAAGCTGAGAGGTGTCTGATTCGCCCTCCTAAAGACTATAAGATTCCCCTGAGATGGCCAACTGGCAGGGACGTAATATGGAGTGGAAATGTGAAGCTAACCAAAGACCAATTTCTTTCGTCTGGAAGTATGACCAAAAGGTACTGTTTTGTTAATTTTAATTCCAAGAGTGAGATATTGCCCTCTTTGGTTTCAGCTATTACAATGGTTTGTTCCATGACAAACGACAGCTTTTACCTTCTACAAGGTTTTTCTTCTTTCAATTTAAAATGAAAACTTTGAATTTCTAAAATTTCTTCAATTGATTATGCAGGTTGATGCTACTAGAAGAGAATCAAATTGCATTTCACTCAGAGGATGGATTGATCTTTGATGGTGTGAAAGATTACTCTCGTCAGCTTGCGGAGATGATAGGGTTAGGAAGTGACGCTGAATTTGCCCAGGCTGGCGTAAGTTTTCCTCAAATGATCTTTCTCTAATTCTCTTTGACGTCTCATCAAGATCCATATTCATTTTGTTTGCATCACCACATAACGTGACTTATTTATAATGATGATGTTAAGACAGATACGTATTATACTAGACATCAATTGTGGATTTGGTAGTTTTGGAGCTCATCTGGCATCACTAAAATTAATGGCGGTTTGTATTGCGGCATATGAAGCAACTGGCAGCCAGGTTCAATTGGCCCTCGAGAGAGGCCTTCCTGCCATGATTGGCAATTTTATTTCAAGACAGCTTCCATATCCGTCTTTGTCATATGACATGGTTCACTGTGCTCAGTGTGGCATCGTTTGGGAGGAAAAGGGTAATTATTGAATTCACTGGCCTTAAATCATCTCCTTTTTTTAGATTGCTCTGATTTTCTGTGCATCAATTAGTGAGTTTGACTGCTCATTGTCTTTTTTATACGGACTCTTGGGGATTCAAGGTTTATTATCTATCATCTTTTTTAGATTGACGTTATGGTTGCCAAACGTAGCATAAGAGATAATACATGCACCATTTTTTTTTCCCTGATGCTGTGCACTCCAAGGTCAAGACTATATGTGATAAAGTTGTCTATTGGAGGTCATATTATTTTTAGTGTCCCTAGCTTCCAAAATAATATGGTTGGGTTGTGCAGAAAGCTTATAAAGGATGAACATTTAAAATGTATGTTGTAGACGAATAATTAAAAATGGAGCAATAACTTTGTGTTCCTGATTGTAAATGTTAGGCCTAACCTCCCAACATGCAACCATATTGAGGAACTTGTCTATATGAGTAACCTTATTTGGAATCAAGAGAGTAATAAGCAAAGAAGAGATAAGGTCTTAAGATTTCATCTGGCTTTACTGTGAGATAGAGAAAGTGCTAGTAACCATTATTGACAATTGCCAACTGATTCCACCGTTAATGCAGTGAAAATGTGGTTCTGATATCTGACGATTAAGGAATTTGAATATCTAAGCAAGCTATACAGGGTAAAAGTACTTGTTAAAGAGGGCATTCAATTTGACTTCTTTATGAAAAAGGGGAAATGGGTAAAAAAGTGCAAACAGATAGTGGATTCTGTGATTCCAAATATTAATTGTTTTTTGGCCGGTTTCTTGATAGTTGATGACTTCTCCATTAGTCATCATGCATGATTCTGATTATTTATGTTCCATGACGTGAACATATCCCTAATTAACTATCCATGTGTGGCAACCATATTAGCTTTTGACTGCTTTTGTCATGCAGCCTCTGTATTTTATGTTTATTTATGTTCTATTGCCAAATTTATATCTTGATTTTGGCAATATCAATCAAATTGACTAGCAGTTTGTTATAGAATCTTGAAATGTTTGTATCAAGAAGTGTTGTCTTTTATTTCTTATGTTCTTCCTTCCTTTTTGCCATTTTTAGAAATTTTTTGTCCTGCCGTGACTTCTTTTATATCATGTGAATATGGTAATTTAACTATACTCTCATTTTTGCTAATCTAAAAATGACGTCATCTGCAGATGGAATGTTCTTGTTCGAAGTTGATCGTGTTCTTAAACCTGGGGGATATTTTGTCTTAACCTTGCCCTCAAGCAGGCCACAGGGAGGTTCATCACGGGTGAAGAAGAATACCATCTTGACCCCAATGGAAGAGCTGACCCAAAAACTCTGTTGGACCCTTCTAGCTCAGCAAGATGAGACTTTCATTTGGCAGAAGACTGCAGATATTGATTGTTACTCATCTCGGTAAGGATTTTTGTAAAACGCCTTGCTTCATTAATGATTCAACTGTATATTTAAGATGATTTATATCAACAGCTGTTACTTGTCCTGCTGCAATTGGTTTCCTGCTTCATTGAACACTCAGTGAATTTTATCATGGACTGAGAATGACATCTGTTATTTTTCATTGTAGCAAGCAGCATGGTATACCTCTATGTAAAGAGCATGATGATAGTCAATCATATTATCAACCTCTTGTGCCATGTATAAGTGGGACATCTAGCAAGCGCTGGATTCCCATACAGAACAGATCCACTGGATCTGAACTAAGTCTGGTTGAGCTCAAAATTCATGGTAAATAATACTTAACAGCGTTGTCCTTATCTCCTCACTACTGCCAATAGCCTGTTCCATTCATTTTGGTTTTCTTTCTCATATTTCTCTCTTTATTACTATACAGGAGTTCAGGCTGAAGACTTCTACGAAGATTTACAGTACTGGAGATCCGCTCTTAAGAATTACTGGTCTTTGCTTACCCCATTAATTTTTTCAGACCATCCAAAGAGACCTGGAGATGAAGACCCGTTGCCTCCATTTAACATGATACGCAATGTGATGGACATGAATGCTAAATATGGCGGTTTAAACACAGCCCTTCTGGAGGAAAAAAAATCAGCATGGGTTATGAATGTGGTTCCCGCTAGTGCTTCAAATGTACTTCCTCTTATACTTGATAGAGGTTTTGCTGGCGTTATTCATGATTGGTAAGTGATTTCTTGTTCTTCGTTATTGGTCTAGGTGAGTAGTTGAATGTGATCTAGGTTCTAGATAAAATGTTTGCATACAAACGATGATTGGTAAAATATTTTAATTATACATTTACAACTCTCAAATTCATATTACGTACCTAAGCATTCCCTTATGTCCAACAACAGTGGTCGTCTTTCTAGCTAAAAGGAAACAATTTCTTTTTATTAGTTATTTTAACACACACACACACACACACGCAGTTCATGATGTCTTACTTAGCTTTCTTAATTTGGTTTCCTTTAGAGACAAATCTGAAGATAGAATGTGGCATGCATGTATGCACTTGATATATATTTTCCTGAAACTACTTACTTGTCTTGGTTCATTGCAAAATCTTTTTTTGTGAAAAATCCACTTCATCTCTGAATTCTCTTCTCTTTGGCGTTCAGACCCGTGAATCTCCTTAAAAAAATGGAGTCAATACTTCCAGGCTTCTGGATAACTAAATGCTTGACCTTGCTGTTGATTTTCAGGTGTGAACCCTTTCCCACGTATCCCCGAACATACGATTTGCTTCATGCTAATGGACTTCTTTCGCATCTCGCTTCAGAGAGGTGCAGCATGGTTGACTTATTCTTGGAGATGGATAGAATACTTCGTCCAGAGGTAACTATGTCCCTGCTCTCATGGTCATGATTGCTTTTCTGGAAAATTGTTTCCTTAATATTTGGACTCTTGTGTTATGCCAAAGAATATCTTCAATTTAAAAAGCAGAAAACTAATTGGCCACTTCCTCTCTCTCTTACATTTCCTTCTCTTCTCAAATCCTCCAGAATCCATCATCCACAGAAAATTTCTTCTCAACCCCCCTTGATTTTGATGAGTTGTGCTCACTTGTTCTTGTAATGCCACAATGCAATGTCAAAGATAGTTCGTTGGATATTCTTTTGTTTGAATGGTAGCAGTGGTCAGTAGCTAGCATATCAGAATGTCTTAGTTAAGCCTAATATGTTGTCATGTTGGTACTATCGATTGGTAGGGATGGGTGATTCTCTCTGATAAAATGGGAGCTATAGAGATGGCCCGGAGATTCACAACACAAGTACGTTGGGAAGCAAGGGTGATTGACCTACAAAATGGCAGTGACCAGCGGCTACTTGTTTGCCAGAAACCATTTGTGAAAAAATAATTAACAGTATGTTCCACCAAAGGGTGAATGACACATTTTTTGCTCTGGTAATTACTCTAACCCTGCATATTGGATGTCATATAGTAGTTTAAAATTAAAGGACAGAGATGCATTAAGGGATAGTATTTTGGAATCAAAATTTTGGATCGTTAAATATATTAGTCCGATGTGAGAAAATAGGCCCTTTAGTAAACACCTCAATCCTTCAAGAAGCATTCCTATGCATGGCAATTTGGCCTCTGTTTGGAATGTTGTTATGTTGAGATCTTTGAATAATTAATTTGTTCAAAGCAGTTCCAACTTACATCACATGAACTGCTGAGTTATCTCACCACTCACTAAGGGTATATTTTGATCAATTTCAGAGAATGGATTGTTTAGTTGGCACAGCATGTATATAGTGCTCAGAGACTTGATGTTTTGCTATCTTTTCCACGACCATATTCAGAATGATGAAGCTGTAGATCGTGAAGGTTCTCGATGAAGTTAGTAACAGTTCTTTCTTTCTTCTTTTGTTGGGGTCAAAGGCGTTTGTAGTAATTCATTCATCCAATATATTTGTTAGTTTTTTTTTATTTAATGATTTCTTTATTGATCACCATTGGACTTGAAGCCTTTATTTGAACAATCTCTAGCTGTGGGGAAAAAAAAAAAAACAAATGTGAATGGCTACAGAATCAGAGAATCAAGAATTTAACTCTTTTTACCTCAGTCTGTGCGCTCCGTTTTGGCTGGTTAAGGTTTGCTTTGTAAAATTTACTGTCAAGGTGTAAGTTTATTCTGAAAGTTTTTACATGCTCATTTTCTGAATACAAATTTGCCTCAAAAATTTAAAATTATTGTAATGTTGTCTTCTATAATTAAAAATGTTAACAGTTGACATTGTTATTTTAATGGTCAATATGAGTTTTTTAGCAATAAAACTTTTAGATGTGTAGCATTCTTGAGTGAAAACTTACAGAGCATATTTGTATCTTAATCCTAAAATCTTTAAGAACTTATGGAGTATAATGAAATTAATTTTAAAGAAAAGAAGAAAAAGTGAATGTAAAGATGGAAAGTTATTGATGCCCTTTTTTTAATTATTAAAATTAAGTAAGAAGCTCTACTAATATCACAAAAAAAAAAAAAAGAAGCAAAACTCATTATGCCATATTGCTCCTCGGTTAATCAGGTCCCTTAGCGAGACGTAAATTCTGAATTAGATCGTCATTTCAAAGCAAAACCACCTAGTAAGATTGAAGAAAATAACAAAGTTGTTCCAGAAGAAGAAAACGATTTGAGGATTGGTTTTGTCGTTGGAGGCCAATCGAAGAATATCCGATGGAGGCCGGCCCAATTAAAGGAAAACAAATCAATGCCAAATCAAACACCGCATCTCCAAATCCCCAACTAGGATTCATATTCCAGGGAAAGAAACATCAATAAACTATTCTGCTAAAAGAACAAGGAAAAAACGGAAGGGAAACAAAAGGCTGGATTTTGGAGATGCAGGGGATCGAACCCTGTACCTCTCGCATGCAAAGCGAGCGCTCTACCATTTGAGCTACATCCCCAGTGATACTTAATTTATCAAAGTTACTTTAGTGATGTCATCCGGGATTTCCCTCACCTATGAAACAGATTGTTCAGTACTTTCAACATAAATCAAATTAACTAAGAATAATTCCTTCACATATTTGCCTAGACCTCCCAAATACTTGAATACTAAATTAACAAATATTAAACGGGAGAAAACGGTTAAGTAGGCTAGTAAGGGAATGCCCTAAATTTTTTTAAAAAAATTTTACAGAAATTTTTGCTTTTTCCTTTTTTAAAAAACAAAAGTTGCTACAAGAAGAAGACGAGTTCCCTCACGAAATGAGCAACGCTGCATCACGATTTGCGCGGTTTCTCTTTCAAAACCTCTCATCCGACGGTTTAGATCCGGTCTTCGTCTCTCTTCCCCCCTGCTTGCTCCGTCTTCAACTTCTATATAAAGCACTCTGCCCCTTTCTTCCCTTCTATTTTTCCTTCGTCTTCGCTCTCTAGGCCATTTCTTGCAGTTATCCGTTTTCCCCTCTTTACCCACACCGTCTTGTTTCTTGGTTCTCGTTCTGTACTCTCATCTCTCTGAAACAATGTCCGCCGAGAAGGAGAGAGAGGGCCACGTTTACATGGCCAAGCTCGCCGAGCAGGCTGAGAGATATGAGGGTGCGTTCCCTTCTTTCTTTCTTTTTTACCTTTAGTTTTTTCGATGTCTACATTTTTCTGGATCTGTCTTCTGTTCGGCGTTATGCTTATGTCGGAATAGATAACGTCGTTTGGCTTTCTTGTTTCTTTTATTGGTTGATTGGAATTGTGGCTTTGGATGTACCACATTTTCTGCATGGATTTGGGTTTTCTTGTTGCTCTTTAGAGATCATGCTGTAGATTTGGCATATTTCTTGGTAACCCGTTTTCTTGACCAGTGTGTGGCTGATGAATTGCTAGGCAATTTGTTTGGATTAATTTTAGTTTCTAACTCCTTTATTTGTCAATCGCGCATGCCTTGAGATAGATGGGAAACAATTCTAATGTGGTGATTTTGGAAGCTGAAGTGGATTAATGGCATTTTCTTTTACTTTCTTGATTCTTCCGTTTCCTTTTCACAAAATTGGTTTTACGGGGCCAAAACGGCCTAAACCATTTGGGCGGTTATTTCGAAAGCTGACGCAGTGAAACAACTTAACGCTATGTTCTTTTGTTTTCTTGATCTCGCCAGTTTCTTTCCAATATTTACTTTTACGGATTCAGTATGGCCGAATACGATGCCTTCCCTTTGACATATGATTTACTGGATCGTGCAAGGGTTGTGCTCTGAAAAAAAGATTCTCCTCTCTATTGCCCGCCCCTTTTCTTTTTGTTTTTTTTCTTCCCCAAACTATGGACTTTATTTTCATGATTCATGTATCCTTTTGTTTATATCTGGCCTTATGAAGTTCTTGCGCGGCCAAGTATCTTATGGTTGTTATTGCGTACCGTAATATTCAGTGAGGTTGTTGACGAGTTCTTGCATGTATATGCAGTCCATCTTGGAGACTATTTAAAATTTCTAGATATTATGCAACTTAATATTTATCATGCAGAAATGGTTGACTTCATGAAGAAAGTAGCAAAGCTTGATCTCGATCTAACTGTGGAAGAAAGGAACCTCCTCTCAGTAGGATATAAAAATGTCATTGGTTCACGGCGAGCCTCGTGGCGCATAATGTCTTCAATTGAACAGAAGGAAGAGTCTAAAGGAAACGAGCAAAATGTTAAACTGATCAAGAGTTATCGCCAAAAGGTTGAGGAGGAACTATCCAAGATTTGCAGTGACATTCTGACAATCATTGATGAGCACCTGATTCCCTCTGCCTCGTCAGGAGAAGCCACTGTTTTCTACTACAAGATGTGAGTGATGTTGTTACTCTGTGTTAAATTTCAGTGCAACTTCACTGATTTATTAGTTTTTTGAATGCTTGCTTATTGAATGTGATTGTTATCTTTTATCGCCAATCTCTCTCGTACTGTCTATTCATCACATGATGCGCTGAGCAATCACAGGTTCTCTAGGGAGTCCCAATGTAGTCTAGAGTCATGGGCCAAACAGTTTTTTTCTGTTCCTTTCATTCTGTGGCACGTCATCTCTTGCCCCACACTTGGGCCCTCTATCTCTGATCTCTTTCAGCGTTTTTCCAGGAAGGGTGACTATTATCGGTATCTTGCTGAGTTCAAGACTGACGAAGCAAAGAAAGACGCAGCTGATCAGTCAATGAAAGCATATGAGGCAAGCATTTTTCATCCCTTGTTGCTGAATTGTCTTGTATTAATAACTCATTGTACTGTCGGTTGATGAGCACACAATCATTTCTGTCTTTAGGCTGCTTCAGCCACTGCAAACAAAGATCTTCCATCGACACACCCAATCCGTCTTGGACTTGCACTCAACTTCTCTGTGTTCCATTACGAGATCATGAATTCTCCTGAAAGGTATTCCGCTGATTCTCTCAATCTACACAGGCGCCAAAGTTCCTTTATTTACTTTTGCATTGACGCCTTTACTGAAACTTACAGGGCCTGTCATTTGGCTAAACAAGCCTTTGACGAGGCAATTGCGGATTTAGACAGCCTGAGTGAAGAGTCATACAAGGACAGCACTTTGATCATGCAGTTGTTGAGAGACAACCTGACTCTCTGGACCTCGGATCTGCCTGAGGATGGAGGTATGATACCGATTGAAACTTGATATTAGATAGATACACTTGAGTAGCTTCCTGAAAAAGCCTGGAATGTTCCGTACTAAATCTTGCTGAGCAATGATGTTTCAAGGCGAAAACAAGGAGATGCTTTGATGTATAGTCTCATGGCAACTCTCTGCTTTTTTCCCTTCATTATGTGTCTGAAGCTTTCTCACTCCTATGTAGCTGTATAAATTCACTTGTAATTTCTCCTAATAATGAAGCCCTAATGATGAAATGCTCTCATGCAGGTGAAGATAGCGGCAACAAAGTTGAAGAGCCCAAACCTGCTGAACCTGAGGTATAATGGTTCCTGTTTCAGAAATTGATTTTTCTATTGGTCAAAGTACTGATATACTGTATTTTGCAGAAGAAGGAATAAGGAACTGATAAACCTGTACAAGGCAGTCGGATGTCAGTCTTCTTGCAATGCGGACCGTGACCACTTCGTTATTGTGCCCTCCTTATATCCATCCAAAGTCAGAAAGAATTGGGTTTTGGGCTGTCTTGTGATTTTGAAATTTTTTGTTTCTACTGCTTTATCATTCTTTTCTAGTGCACTGGCCAGTTTTAGCAACGGATTCTTCACATGTACTCGGTTTGCTTTAAAGCGTCTATTTTGTGTTCGTTAGTTTTAAGGTGATCCAGGTTAACATCGATTGGCTTTGCAAGTAGGAAGTCCTTTTAAATTTTAATTGGCAGTGAAGAAATAAAATTTGTTAAGGCCCTATTGAATTTGGACTTTTGATTTCTGAATTCCGGGTTGGCCTGGTTCGGCCCACAGAATATTTGTCTGGGAAAAAAAATAAGGATGAGGATTGAAGTCATGTTTTTTCAATAATATACGGTATTTCAAACGTATATTTCTCTGCAGAAAGAGTTCCTTTATGTAAAATATATTTTAGAAAATATGATGAAAACGTTGATTATAACTTTGTTTTGGTCGCTAAGAAATAAATTATTTTTCACTTGGTCTATTAGAGAATTATCTCATCAATTCAGTTCTAGATAATTCCTAGTTTGGTATATCATATAGTTAATTTCTGATTAACTCGAATATATGTTTTGCGCTTAGGCAATATTGTGGACATTTATATAGCACTAACATGTGGGCCAATTTCACAGTAGCTGCGCGAGTTGCGCTCGTCTTCCAAAACATGTGCTTTTTCATAGCATTTATTGATGACAATAACTTAGCTTTTGGTCCCTGAAGTTGTAGTTAACTATAGTTGAGGTCTCCACATTTTTTTTAAATTAAGAAATCAATTCATAAATTTATGATTAATTATGGTGAAGATCCCTTGAGATGATGTTTTGCTAACAAGACAATAACACTTTGCTAATACGACAATGATGTTTGATAATAATGAAAATTTTGAAGCAAAGTTATAAATAACTAACAAAAAATACTTCATCTGATTTACATAATGTTATGCGTGAACTCCATCAACAAAGTGTAAAGCAATGCCAATTTTATTCTTATTAAGTCTGACTTTTGCCGGTCAAATAGTTTTTAAAGCTGATTCATATATTATGATACTAAAATTAATAATGAAAAACAAAGAAATACCAGTAGCTGACGAAGTTCGGTGGAGTAATTTATTGCTGAAAGCATGAACACCGACGCCATCTTTAAAGAAAGGTGGGGCTGGTTACAGTTGCTTTTTAACTTTTTTAGAAGGAGCCAAAAATAATAATAATTAAAATGAGGACTCTTGGGCGCCAATAATGCACACCTTGTTCATAACTTCTCTCCGACAGCAATGTTTCGATTATTGAAAGCTTCATTCATCATGCGTTTCCCTTGTCTATTTTTGTTTCCTTTTTCTATTTTAATAATAAAATTACATCAAATATACCTAATGTTATGACATTAATAGTTTTAAGGAACACGATGTCACTTTATGATGCTTAAAAATTAAATTTTATAGTTGGCAAAAAAAATACTAGTGCAATTTTCATGGATACTAGAATTTGCTACCACTTTCCTGAAAAAGCAAATTATTTTTGCATATTCCATACAGTTGCATATATGTGCAATATTCCTTTCTCTATCAAACAAGCAAATTGCTTTCTTAAATGCAGGATTTGTCTCTCTCATCCCTTTCGCCATTGATGGTTATGAACCCCTGATCTCTTATTTAACGCATAAATTTTAAATTATGCAGCCTCGAACTCTCAAATGCTTAGCTTTTGCCGAGTTAAAACTTCTCCAGACTCTGTTCTGACTATATGAAGTTTGCTTCCTTTGAGAATCAGAACACTCTGCTCTGCCTTTCTCAAATTCTCACTGTTTGCCATTCCTTTTTCCTTATGTTGATGAGAAATCTCATTTTGGGTTGGCGTGTCTCCTCAAAAGATATTCCTTTTGCCGGCAAATAATTAATTTTCAGATCCTTTGATATCTATATTCCCCGCCGTCCGGAATCAAATAGTGTTTTCTTTGAATTGTTTCGTTTCCTGAGATAAGAATGGCCTCTGCAAGTAACCCAGTCCACTTTTCAGTTCAAAGACCTCGAGTTTCATCGCTTTATTTGCTAACTAGAAGAATTTCGATCAGCCATGGTTTGTTTAAAGCTCGTTCGCTTGAGCCTAAGGACTCAAGTTTGGCGTTTTCGCCATTGTCGGAGAATGGGAAGCATCTGGGAATTGTGCATTCTGTGAGGCCGTTGGGGTTGGACATGTTTGGTTGGAATCAGCATCTGAAACGACGACGTTTGGATGAATTTCCTGCTGTTGCTGCGGCAGCTGCAGATGCTGATGGTGATGAAATCAACATCTCTGATGGGTGAGAGACTTCTACGCAGTTCAAACCTTTTTCTTTTTCTTATGACTTGAATTCAACTTTGACCAGATATTGGTCTTTTTTATAAAAAAAAAGAAGAAGAAAAATTCTTGCACTCGAGAACTTGAGTGTTCAGTTGAACAAAAAGAAGGAAATAGTGTTGTTGCGTGATAAGATCTATTGTAAAAATTTCTTTTGGGGACCTAATAATGGTTTGCGTTCTCATGTTCTGTTCCTGACTTTCTATTAATAATCATCGTTTTTCCTTGTTACCCATTTACAGGACTGTTAAGGCTACGAAGAGTTTTGGTGAGAGATTTCCTGCGTTGGTTACTGGTTTCTTTTTCTTTATGTGGTAAGGATCTCCTTTGTCTCTAATTTTTCTTGGCCGGGGCAAGAAAACTTGAACTAAAAAGGGCTTTTGATATGGATGATTACAATTTTGAATTTCATGTAAGTATCACCAACTTACTAGATCTCACCTATCGTTGAGTCAGATTTTCACTTAAAATGAATAAAAATATGGAGAACTAGCCAACATACCTTTTCCTTTAAACATAAAGTGGTAGGAATTTATATGCTGACAGTGTCCTGTCTTTCATGCAGGTACTTTCTAAACGTGATTTTCAACATACTCAACAAGAAAGTTTACAATTACTTCCCGTATCCCTAGTATGTTTTCCACCAGAAGCGGCTTCATTTCCTCTGAGTCTGTGCGTCTGTGTCTCGTATATTGTACTTATCTGGTTTCCTAATAAAGTAGTGTTTTAGCTTTCTGAAACTCCACCATTGGGTTATTTACTAACTTCCTTTCAATACTATTTGCAGCTTTGTTTCTGTTGTGCATCTCCTTGTTGGTGTGGGATATTGCCTTGTTTCCTGGTCTGTAGGCCTACCAAAACGTGCAGTAAGTAGTTCTTGTTTATCATATACATATATACATATATACATATATAGGTATAACATTCATCATAACAGCTGTTTTGTTTTTCCCTTTTAACCAGCCTATTGACAAGGAGCTCTTGGCATTATTGACTCCAGTTGCATTTTGTCATGCCCTTGGTCATGTCATGTCCAATGTATCATTTGCAGCCGTTGCTGTGTCTTTTACCCACACCATAAAAGGTATGGAAGCTGGGAAGATAAAAAGAAAATCAGAAATTTCTTGCTTTTGTTGTTAAACAATTCCATTCCATTAACATTTTCTTTTCCTGGGTGTGTGTAGTCTTTTCCCCATCATGCCTGTGCTACAATATGATGATTATATTGGAATTATTTTTATTATAACTACCCACGTTTTGTCCACATTCACATTGGCTGATGACAATGGCATGGATTGAGTTACTTGCCAAAGGAAGTTTCGTTCAACGAGTTTCATTAAAATATCTTTACTCACTATATCTCAGAAATTTGATTAGTTGGATTTAATATCAGCTTCCAAGGGCCTTATGCACATTTACTTATATTTATGAAGATTAAATAAGCACTCCGGTTAAGCATTCATTCCCAGTTTCTTAATTCTCTATATTTTTATTCATTCAGCTCTGGAGCCCTTCTTCAACGCTGCAGCTTCCCAGTTTGTCTTGGGCCATCAGATTCCATTGTCTCTGTGGCTATCCTTGGCCCCGGTTGTTATTGGTAATTCTCAAAGATAATAATGTACTATGTGCATTTTTTCTTTTTGTCCTGTATGCTTAAACATATCTGTTTTACTCAAATAATGGCCGTTTCTTTAAACTTTATAAACACGATCTGTAAGCTGATGAGAGCTTTCCCTTCAGGTGTGTCAATGGCATCACTCACTGAACTGTCCTTCAACTGGACTGGGTTCATAAGTGCGATGGTTTCAAATATAGCGTTCACTTACAGAAGTATATATTCAAAGAAAGCTATGGTAAGGTCTTATAGCACCTGACTCTTCACCTGATCTGTGTATTGCAGTTTTTTTTTTTTGGGTTAATATTGCGGTTCATTTTTACGTTGCCTGGGCATGTGCGTGTGTACAATTTCAATTTCCTTAATTTTATTTGTTCAATTATTCATGAATTGATCTTATGGGGATTATATAGGGAAAAACAGATAATAATAGTAAATTAGCTCATACTTAATGCTTGTTACTTAATCTGCAACATTAAGTACTTTCAGAGAAGTTTTCAATAGCACCTGTAAGGGCAATGATGAATCAGAGAAGTAAGTCAGTTTCTTATTTCCAAAGTGATTCCAATACATTGAAGATTTATCATTGTACATATACTAAACAATTAAGCCTTAAAACTGCAATCAAGTACTTTTAGCCTATGTGGAAGAATAAAAGTCCTTCGGGTCCGTTTATGTGAGTTAACTGGATTGCGTTAACTCAATCTCAACCTTTTGGCCTATGTGGAAGAATAAAAGTCCCTCGGGTCCGTCTATGTGAGGTGACTGGATTGCATTAACTCAATCTCAACCAGTTATTTCATCAGACAAGGATGTAACAAAGAAGATTGTGTCATTAAGACTTACGCAAACACTTTAATGGACTTAATCCATGTAACTTTATCAGATATATACACTATTGATCATGTTATATCTAAAAAGATCAATCATGTGACAAGATCTGCTATATAGGCGATCTATTTTGACTTTGACGCAACTCTTGTAGTCAATCTAAATGTCAGGACTTCTAAAGTGAGGTTCAAGAACAGAACCAAGCTGATATAATTTGATAACTAGTCTTTTAACTAGTGTGTTTATTTTATTTATTTATTTTTTCAAACAGACAGGAATGGACAGCACAAACGTATATGCCTATATCTCTATCATTGCCCTCTTCTTTTGCATTCCCCCAGCAATCTTCGTAAGTTTATCTGATGCAAGAACTGAAGGATGATTCTTTTTTCCCCCTGTTGTTTCTCTGTAAGTTTATTATTAATTGGATGTTGGCTGCTTCCAGATTGAGGGTCCTCAACTTATGGAATATGGTTTTAGAAATGCTATTGCAAAAGTAGGCCTCTTCAAGTTTTTGTCTGACCTGTTTTGGATTGGAATGTTTTACCATCTATACAATCAGGTATCCCTTATGCTGGAATTTAAAACTTCAATATTACACAGTCTGATTGATGAACTTCCACTAACTCTGAATATAAACTTTATAATATTACACAGTCTGATTGCTGAACTTCCGCTAACTCTGAATATTACACCTACAGCTGGCTACTAATACTTTGGAACGTGTTGCACCATTGACACATGCTGTTGGAAATGTATTGAAGCGAGTTTTTGTCATCGGGTTCTCTATAGTGGTTTTTGGTAATTACTCTGGTTTGCTCATAATTGGAAACTCCAGGGAGTGGATTCTCTACATTTCACTCTCCTGATAGTTGCAAACTTGTGCAGGCAACAAGATATCCACCCAAACTGGCATCGGCACTGTGATAGCAATAGCAGGCGTTGCCATCTATTCTCTGATCAAGGCAAACATGGAAGAGCAAAAACGGGTTAGTTTTTAGTTTACTTCTATCTTGCAGCTTTGTTTATCCCATTAAACGAAGCTGAATCCATGGCAACTAGTAGTTAATCTATGGATCTGTCTTCAGAAAACAAGCCAGTTTAAGCTTCTTGTTGAAAACTACTAACACAGTGGAATTTGTTACTTGAATCCCAAATCATCTTCCGCTGAACATTGCATGTTCTCCCTAGCTTGGTAAATGTAGACTTCTACAATCCCTGAAAGAGATTCTTGGGCTGATCTGGTCTGCGAAATTTTATGGGGCTCACTTTACTGAATTACTGTGCTTTCAAATAATTTCAGAAGGCTGCTGCAGCTGTTTCATCATAAGGCTCGACCATGTTACGTCAATGCAATGGCAGACGCAAGTCATGTGAATTGTATTATATACGGAGGCGTATCAATATTATGCATAGAACTAATGCTTCAGACTAGCCAAGCTTTTGATGTTGAATAGTGCCATGAAAATAAAACCCCTTAAGAAGAACATTGGATTATGGAGCATATCCATTAAGAAATATGGGTTTGCATTTTACTTCTTCGCTCTTTATTCAATGATCCACCAAGCAAGGGGAGTCTAGCTGCAAAATATGACTGCCACTCACTAGCATGTTTTTAGATTAAACCAATTCATGTGCTAACTTATCAACTCATAATTAACATAATTTGATTTTACAAAGATAGACCTCCTCTCATTAGATTGTAGGAATCTCTTGTGGCCTGATATAATGAGTATATATACTTTAATATCATACCCTGTGCCTCCTCAAAATAATGAAATATAGACATGATTTTTGAAAAATGAAAAACTGAAACTTTTTTGATGTGAAAAGCGAATACCAAAGTTGCCGTACTGTGTGTTTTTGTGGTATCAATAGGGGTTTGGTTGTTGTTATTTTGTTTCTTCCATTTTTATTTTTCTCGCTTTGCTTTCATGACATACTTTTAATGATACACTTTGAAGGAGATAAATGTTTGTTGCCTTAAATAAAGAACGATTTTTTTAATTAAAAAGAGCAAAGTGCCATTAATAACAAAAAGTCATTGCAATGTAGATTTTAAAGAAGTACAGGAACTTAATAAAGAAATAAGTGAAGGTGACGTATATTTAATGAAGGGCTAAGGTGCACCCAACACCCTGAACTATTTACCCAGGTGCGTCCAGTGACTTAAAGTAATTTTGGGCGTATCCAGTGTCCTAAACTAATTAAAATGGTGCGTCCATATCCCAGGCTAACAGAAATGTTATGTTTAACTGTTACTTTCCTGACTCAGCTTAAAGTTGACCCCAGATATTCTAAATGGTAAACATATGGACAGTTGATATGTATTATTCTTACTCAAAATTGAATTTATTTCCTTCCTCTTCTTCTAAATAAATTGACTTTTGAGTAAGAATAATACACATCGGGGTGCCCATATGTCTACCATGTAGAATATCTGGGGGTCAACTTTAAGGTGAGTCAGGAAAGTAACAGTTAAACATAACATTTCTGTTAGCCTGAGATATGGACGCACCATTTTAATTAGTTTAGGACACTGGATGCACCCAAAATTACTTTAGACTACTGAACGTACTTGGATAAATAATTCGGGATACTGGGCGCACTTTAACCCTTTAATGTAATGAACCCTATATGAAAATTAACGAAGTAGTCCAATAGGTGCAAAAGATCTTACTCGACAATGCTGCTTGATCCTTTTAAGGATTGTTTGCAAGAAATTTGCCTTTTTAAGGCCCATAGATCAATGTTTTTGATTCATTATCAAACAAAAGAAATTGAATAATCCATCGAGAGCTAACTCTCATACACTTGAAAGCCAAAGAGGAATCACCATAAGTTAAACCTTTCCATATAAAATGATGTACAAGTTGACTATGGAAATATACCCATACATGACAAAAAACCATTTCTTTTATGTTTGACATAACGTAGAATGATAGTCCGTCTAGAGAAATTAAGATGAAAGCAAGAATTTATTGATGGGTAAGAAGGAAGAGTATGATTGGCCTTTTGAAAAGATGAGTAAACTATATTACAAAAAGAAAATGAAGATTTAATCTCTTCAGCAACTAAGGATTAGTAGTTTTTTTTCTCATGTAGTACCAAATCACATTTGAGCCGTATAATGTTAAGAAGTTATGATATTAAATTCTAACGTTCAAACTGCAATATCATTGTGAAAGGACAATTATAGAACAAGTGAAGAAGAGATTTCTCTTTTTGACATCCAAACAAACATCGTCCAACCCTGCCTAACCATTGAATTTGATCAAGCAAGTTTATTAAGAAGAATAGAATCTTTAAAATACATTTAGCAATACAAGGGGCATACAAAGATCTAATTAGTGAATTATTCCACTAAAGAGGATTCCATCTGAAGAGATCATGCTTTAACAAATCTGCAACTATCTAAATTTCTCCAACATTCTATTTGAGATGGTTGATGATTAAGCCCACATACTTAATTATGTCTTTCTAAATCCAATGATACATTATAAAGCTGTTGACGAGGGGGCTCGAGATAAATTAACATATTTTGCCTTCAAAATACAAGCAGTAAGAGAGGAAGGTGGTGAGTCAATGATTCTTTTAACATTTCGTTATAGCTTTGTGAAGCTATCAACTCAATCCTTGACTTGTCCATCATGTCACTAGTGAGTCATGTACTGTTGACATAAAGCCAACTTAAGTGAGATTAAAACGCCACATCACCACACTGTCATCTCAGTCAAAAAGTACCTATCTATGTTTTATGTGTCTCAGCAAGAAGAGGCATGACCTTAATACTTCAGTAGTTCAGCTTTTGTGATCATATTTTGTCTAGATGTTTAGCTCAATCTAACCCACATAAAATTTTGGAACATTTTCAGATGTAAAATTAAAGATGCCAACTTCTTATGTTTGTGTTTCGAAGTTAGTACTGGTTATGACAGCTTCTTATTTGTGTTTCTAAATTAGTGCTGGATATTATTTACTCAAGTATCATCGAGTCCAAAAAATAAAAATAATAATAATAATAACACGTTCACAACTTGCGCTAGATTTCACATTAAATACTCAGTCTGGTACTTCTTATATAAGATGTTTCCTGTAAAAATAAAACAAAAATATATAAAATTCTACTACACTTGGTATTGGTATTGAATGAATGTAAACATCTGCTCATGACTCTCAAATCAATAATAAAATTTTGAAGGGCAAAAACCAAAAGCCAATAAAAAAATTTTAAATTATACTCTTCCGATCCTTAATATAAACATATTTAACTAATTTGATTAGATTAAAGAAATTAGATAAGTTATTTTATTATAAAAAATATGTCATGTTTTCCTTAAAAAACCTAGTCATCTTTCTTAACATCCTCCTTCTCTTTTCCTTAATTATGATTAATCAAATATCCATAAAAAAATTTAAAAAAATTAATAATATGATAAATAAATTTTATTTAAAACTAAAATCAACTTAAAAGTTAGATTCTATATTAAAGACCGAAGGACTACCTCACTATAATTTGAAATAAGAAACTCTTCTAAAAGACATCTTATAATCAGGACCAAAGAGAGTAT